CAGCGGCAGGAGGTGGGTGTATAGGAGCATGTTACACCTTAAATATGGGTTTAAAATGCACCTAAAGGAGAACTTATCCTTCAAAGGTATATCTAAAGCCAAAACATAATTTTCTCTTGTAATAGTTTTTTCCATTGAAATAACATAAAACAAGCATTGGTTACTTAGATCATGTACATATACAGATTGAATACATGTAAGGTATGTAATCCTATGGGCAGGTTGAAAAGGCAACATTTAGTACATATAATAGTACAGCTTTGAGTTCTGTATTTGTGGAGGCAGGGCTAGCTAATTGCCAATCCAGGATGGACATGTATTTGTTTTTTATAATCTGGTTTGCTCCTTGTACGTAAGGGTAACAGCAAGAGGGATAGGAAAAGGGTGGGTAACTAGGGATTGTAACATACAGTTGTGTTCAAAATAATAGCAGTTGGACATCACTAACCTGATCAATCACTGTTTTTGGTAGAAATGATATTTCTACATGGCAAATAATTTACTAGCAGGTCTAATAGAGTAATAGAAATCCAACAGACCCAACAGTCATAACATGCATGCTGCTGATTCTGTGTCATTGAATCACTAATTGAAAGGGGCATGTTCAAAATAATAGCAGTGTGGAGTTCTATTAGTGAGGTCATTCATTCTTTGAAAAAACAGGTGGCAATTATTGCCCTTATTTAAGGAAGGAAGGCAGCAAATGTTGTACATGCTGGTTACAGTGCATTTCTCTCTGAAATTCTGAGGAAAATGGGTCGTTCCAGACATTGCTCAGAAGAACAGCGTACCTTGATTAAAAAGTTGATTGGAGAGGGGAAAACACATATAAAGAAGTGCAGAAAATGATAGGCTGCTCAGCTAAAATTATCGCAAATGCTTTAAAATGGCAACCAAAACCTGAAAGACAAGGAAGAAAAAGCGAAAAACTATCATTGGAATGGATAGAAGAATAGCCAAAATGGCAAGGACTCAGCCAACAATCAGCTCCAGGAAGATCAAAGAAGGTGTAAAGTTACCTGTGAGTACTGTTACAATTAGAAGACGCCTATGTGAAGCCAAGCTATCTGCAAGAAGCCCCCGCAAAGTCCCACTGTTGAAAAAAAGACGTGCTGAAGAGGTTACAATTTGCCAAAGAGCACATTGACTGGCCTAAAGAGAAATGGCGCAACATTTTGTGGACTGATGAAAGTAAGATTGTTCTTTTTGGGTCTAGTGGCCGGAGACAGTTTGTCAGACGACCCCCAAACACTGAATTCAAGCCACAGTACACTGTGAAGACAGTGAAGCATGGTTGCGCAAGCATCATGATATGGGATGTTTCTCATACTACGGTGTTGGGCCTATTTATCGCATACCAGGGATCATGGATCAGTTTGAATACGTCAGAATACTTGAAGAGGTCATGCTGCCTTATGCTGAAGAGGAAATGCCCTTGAAATGGGTGTTCCAACAAGACAACGACCCCAAACACACCAGTAAACGTGTAACATCTTGGTTCCAGACCAACAAGATTGACGTTATGGAGTGGCCAGCCCAATCCCCGGATCTTAATCCAATAGAAAACTTGTGGGGGTGACATCAAAAATGCAGTTTCTGAGGCAAAACCAAGAAATAGAGAAGAGAACTGTGGAATGTAGTCCAATCATCCTGGGCTGGAATACCTGTTCACAGGTGCCAGAAGTTGGTTGACCCCATGCAACACAGATGTACAGCAGTTCTCAGAAACAGTGATTATACAACGAAATATTCATTAAGTGATTCAAAGGAAAGCAAAATCTTCAATAATTTTTCAGTTTATATAGTGAATGTTTGAGTTTGTAAAGAAGAAAACAAACACTGCTATTTTTTTTTTTTTTTTTTTTGAACAGTCTAATATTCACTTTTCTTCAATTTCTTTAGAGGAACAACACAAATTTTGATATATTTTTCTTCATGTTTTGATTTGGAATAGAATGTGTAGTGTTCCCAATGCATTTGTGTGTATGGAAATAAAATAAAATGGGTGGGGGGGGGGGATAGGAGTGTTCGATAAGGAAATGTGGGAAAATAGAAAAAAAAGTGAAAAGGGGTGGGGGGAGGGAAGGATAGGGGGGAATCTGGAGTTGGCATTAACCACTCAAAGGGGTTAATACATGACAGCAATAAGGGGTGTGTTTAGAGGAAAGCTCACACTTAGCAGGGAGGTAATTTTCCACTGATTGGGGGTCAACCTTGAGTTGTATTGCAGTAAGTTTTTCAAAGGAATATTTTTGGTGAAACTATGTAAAACCTATAGCAAAAGTATGATTGAGGGGTGTTTTAATATTCTACATTTTTTTTTTCTTATTAAAGTAGATGTAAAGGCTCAAGGTGGTTTTTTTTTTTTTTTTTTTTTTTTTTTTTTTATGTATGACGGTAAAAAACCTTCTGTGTAGGAGACTCCCCGCCCCCCCCCCCCCCCCCCCAATACTTACCTGAGCCCCATCTCTGTCCACCAAACCAATGTGCACAAGAGCAGTGTCTCTCCTGGGTCGCTTCCTCCTCATTGGCTGAAATAGCAGCGGGAGCTGCCTGTCTGTCACAGCCAGTGAGCCAATAAGTAGAGAGGGTGAGGCCAAGGCCGCTATCTTTTCTGTAAGTTCATAGAGCAGCAGCTCTGGAGTGAGCTTGCTCAGGTACCCCCATAGCAAGCTGCTTACTGTGGGGTCAATCGACAGGAGGGAGGGGCCAGGAGCGCCAACAGGGACCAGAGGCTGCTCTGTGCAAAACCACTACACAGAGCAGGTAAGTATGACATGTTTGTGATTATTTATATATATATATATATATAATTTTTTTTTTTAATTTGCCTTTTGGTATCACTTTAAATAGAACAAAGAATTGATAAAAGCCTTGGCAAAAAAAAAAAAAAAGAAAAAAATGTGAAATCTGTGTACCAGTGTGGATATTTCCCTTTACTTCCTGGCCAGTAGACTCAACAGGAAGTAAAAGACTCTGTCCAAAGTAAGGAAAATGCCCTCTTAGTTATCAGCAGAACAAATGTCCTCCATTGGTAGATTTCCACACTTGTTCTTGTGAATAATCACAAGTTTGGATCTTCCCTCCTACACTATATTGCCAAAAAGATTGGGACGCCTGCCTTTACACGCACATGAACTTTAATGGCATCCCAGTCCATAGGGTTCAATATTGAGCTGGCCCACCCTTTGCAGCTATAACAACTTCAACTCTGGGAAGGCTGTCTACAAGGTTTAGGAGTGTGTCTATGGGAATGTTTGACCACTCTTCCAGCATTTGTGAGGTCAGGTACTGATGTCGGGCGAGAAAGCCTGGCTATCAATCTTCACTCTATATCATCCCAAAGGTGTTCTATCGGGTTGAGGTCAGGCCAGTCAAGTTCCTCCACCCCAAACTCACTCCTCCATGTCTTTATGAACCTTGCTTTGTGCACTGGTGTGCAGTCATGTTGGAACAGGAAGGGGTCATCCCCAAACTGTTCCATGAAAGTTGGGAGCATGAAATTGTCCAAAATGTCTTGGCATGCTGACATCTTAAGTGTTTCCTTCATTGGAACTAAGGGGCCAAGCCCAACACCTGAAAAAAAACCCCACACCATAATCCGCTCTGCACCAAACTTTACACTTGGCACAATGCAGTCAGGCAAGCTCCGTTCTCCTGGCAACCGCCAAACCCAGATATGTCCATTGGATTGCCAGACAGAGAAGTGTGATTGGTCACTCCAGAGAACATGTCTCCACTGCTCTAGAGTCCAGTGGCAGTGTGCTTTACACCACTCACCTAATGCTTTGCATTGCACTTGGTGATGTAAGGCTTGGCTGCAGCTGCTCAGCTATGGAAACCTATTCCATGATGCTCTCTACGCACTGTTGTGCTAATCTGAAGGCCACATGATGTTTGGAGGTCTTTAGCTATTGACTCTGCAGACAGTTGGCAACTTCTGCGCACTGTGCGCTTCAGCATGTGCTGACCCCGCTCTGTCATTTTTATGTGGCCTTCCACTTTCACAGATGGTAGTCTATCACAGTACCACGATTAAATTCATTGAGCTCCTAAGAGCGACCCATTCATTCACGAATGTTTGTAGAAGCAGTTTGCATGCCTACATGCTTGATTTTGTACACCTGTGGCCATGGAGGTGATTGGAATACCTGAATCTAATGATTTGGAAGGGTGTCCCAATACTTTTGGCAACATAGTGTATATAGTTCCGATGACAATGGCCCACATGACAATTAGAGAGGGTGAATCTCTCCTTAACAGAGACCCAGGCAGTAATAAAAGCCTAACAGGGGTTTTTAACTCTTAACCACACATTTGAAAACTTAAAAAAAAGTTTTGGCTTTAGATACTGTGTTATATTCTAATCTTATGATCCTTTAAAGTCTTATTTGGCAGGGCTTACAGATTGTCTCTAGGGCAGGGCTGTACTTTCTACTTGTCATTCTGCATTGTAAAATATTCATTCACAATGAAAGACCTTTATAGAATGTAACCGAGGCATCCTGACTTTCCCCACGTATTAATAAATACAGAAATCCTTCAAATGGGTTTTAATGTGTTTTCCTGGCTGAATGTTATGGAACTTCTGTAGTGTACATCATTATTGACCTGTCTCATTGTGAATTTCCTGCACATTTATTGTACTTTTTTCAGTTAATCTTTTTCTTCTGCTGCATGTGTACGATCTGAATCTGCATTGAGTCTACCCCTTAATCGTTACTCCATAGATCCTAGTATGGATGCTCCTATGGATTATAGTAGGAGCCAAAGTGTACATAGGCACCTTGAGGATGGCATTCAGGTTTTCCAGTATATTTGCAAATGTATGCAAGGGGAGACCTGTACTTTTTAAAAATATTGGACATGTATTACAATTTTTTTTCTTTATCGTACATCACAGGACACAGTGCAGGCTATAATCATTACTATCTGGGTTATGCACCACCTATAGGTGAATGGACATTGGAGGATCAAATAGGAAGTCCTCCCCTATATAACCCCCCCCCCCCCGCCCCTATACAGGAAGTACCTGAGTTTTGTAGCAAGCAATGAAATTCCAAAAAGAGAAGAAATGGATTTTACAGGTACGTATGTAGAAAAAACCCCAACATTTCTTTATTGTACATCACAGGACACAGGGCAGGCTATAATCATTACTATCTGGGATCTCCAAAGCAGTGCCCTTGAGGGGAGCGAGACACATAACAGAAAAACTGCCACCAGACCAAAGGACCTATTCTGCCACTTGTAATACACTGTGGCTAAAGGCAGTATCCTCTGTAACTCCATCATCATTATTATCTGGGTTATGTACCACCTTTAGGTTAATAGACACTGTCAGATCAATTAAACAGGATGTCCTCCCCTATATGACCCCTCCTATACAAGAAGCGCCTCCCATTTTTTGTTTTTTTTTTTTGCCATTGTCTTGGAGATGATGGTAACTGAAGTTCAGCTCCCTGTAAGTGTACTGCCGGTTCTCAAAAAGGTTCTAATAGGAATCAAGGGACTGCATAATCGGATCCATTCTAATGGCTGGACGCAAAAATTGATGTCACACGACCCTGTTGTGAAGATGGAAGACACAGGTATTGCCTGTAATGTCGTCTTACGGTGCTGGATCCTGCATAACTGAATCCTGAGCAGTTATTATCTGACTAAGGTGCTTTCTGACAGGGTGCTATACAGATTCAAGGCATGGACCCAGAGAAAAAAATAGGAGGACAGAGTCCTTGAAGGATTTTTTATGACAAAGACTTTGGTGGGAATGGTAAGTTTACATTGGATTGTTTTGTTTAAAGTCTGACTATTTCTTTATTCTCCCGGCGGCCAATGGGGGCAGTGTGCTCTTTGGTTTGGTGGACTATGCTCTCTTGAAGGAGTATTGTGCTGTAGTTTCTCTTCCAACCATTAGAGGCAGCAGTCCCAGTCTCTATAGTCTATTCTTGTACAGTGGAGACAGGGAATTAGGGGGGGTGGCCATTCTGGCTTATGGTTTGTAGTCACATGTTGGCTGATGCTTAGCTGACTGGATGAGAATGTGTGCATATTACCGGTGGAGGAGCTGCATGACCAGACAGGACACGATTATACACTGCATTAGTCTGCATAATTCCAGGGGGCTTGTACAACTGTTTTTGATACACCCCTGCAGGGGTATCGGTGCACTTAACCAGTTGAGTCACCCGAGTAGCTCACATTTGGTCTGCAGGAGCTTACAGGAGCAGCATAGAGGCTGCATTCAGACTGACCTTGATGCATATGTGCTTGATTAGTCTTGCAAGTCTAGTACTCAACCAAGTACAATTAAGTTTGACACAGTTCTTTGAGGAAACAATATGCTTCTAGAAAGCTGGGCAGTTGCAGCATTGTATTACATTATTGCATACATACCTGTGCAATTATAATTGCATTACCTGTGTCATAACGCATAAACTGCATTCGTGCATGCATAAATAAGGCATTTACTACATACATACTTATCGCATAAACTATGTACATGCATACTTAATGCATAAACTGCATATATACATGCATACTTAAGTGCATTCTTGCATAGACTACATACTGTACTTGTGACGGGAGTCACTTTGGGTGGGGGGGGGGCCCATGGAATACAGCTCACTTTAGAGAGGTGGGGAGACCCCTGTCTCAGCTCCCCATATCCCTCTTATGTGGAAGTCACCCTGTGCCTGTTAGGGGTGCAGGGTGAAATGTCCTGATATTGTGTATACATGTATAGGAGATGGGTGGGGGTTGTGGATTGTTTGGTGTTATGTGATTGCATCCCATTGTTCTATTGTGTGTCTTGCTTGGGAGCAAACTATTATGGGATGTATGTGTTTGTGAATTGGCTTGGTGGGGGGTGTCTGCTGATGTGTTTCTTGTTGCTAGATTTGGTTTGCCCCGAACTGTGTCCTTATGCAGGGAGGGGAGAATTGTTCCCTTTAATGTATATACCGTATTTTCCGGCGTATAAGACTGGGCATATAAGACGACCCCCTACTTTTCCTGTTAAAATATAGGGTTTGAGCTATACTCGCCGTATAAGACTACCCCTCTTCCAACGCACACCAAATAAAAATGAAAAAACATCAGATTTGATTTCAATATGGTATGGTATTTCAGTATGCTATTCCAATGATGGGGCGCTATTCCTCCCACTGACACCAATGATGGGGCACTATTCCTCCCACTGACACCAATGATGGGGCGCTATTCCTCCCACTGACACCAATGATGGGGCGCTATTCCTCCCACTGACACCAATGATGGGGCGCTATTCCTCCCACTGACACCAATGATGGGGCACTATTCCTCCCACTGATACCAATGATGGGGCACTATTCCTCCCACTGATACCAATGATGGGGCACTATTCCTCCCACTGATACCAATGATGGGGCACTATTCCTCCCACTGATACCAATGATGGGGCACTATTCCTCCCACTGATACCAATGATGGGGCACTATTCCTCCCACTGACACCAATGATGAGGCACTATTCCTCCCACTGACACCAATGATGGGACACTATTCCTCCCACTGACACCAATGATGGTGCCCCATCATTAGTGTCAGTGTGTGAGGAATAGTGCCCCATCATTGGTGTCAGTGGGAGGAAAAGTGCCCCATCGTTGGTGTCAGTGGGAGGGAAAAGTGCCCCATCACTGGTGTCAGTGTGGAGGAGGAATAGTGCCCCATCGTTGGTGTCAGTGTGGAGGAGGAATAGTGCCCCATCGTTGGTGTCAGTGGGGGAGAGGAGCGGCTGCTCCTTCTTTTCGTTCGGCCGCTCGATTTTCGCGGGGCCGCTCGGCTCCGCCTCCTCGCCAGTGATTGGTCGCCTGTGTGCCTTTCCAGTGCTGGCGACCAATCACCGGTGAGGAGGCGGAGCCGAGCGGCCGAACTGAAAGAAGGAGCAGCCGCGCTTCCTGGACCGGATCGTCGTCGGACCGGAGCCAGGTAAGGTACAGCAGCCTCTCTGCCCACCCTGTACTTAGTGTCCGTTGGAGGAGGAGGGGGGCGGCGCCGCGCCACCCCTCAAAAAAGTGCCGTCCTGACACCGGCTCGCCGCATACCGGCGTATAAGACGACCCCCGACTTTTCATCAGATTTTTATGGGTTGAAAAGTCGTCTTATACGCCGGAAAATACGGTATCTTGTGTCTGTGTTAAAATAAAGCAGTCTATTTATTTCCTGTTTTTTTTTTTTTCAAGAGTGTTGTCCGTGGATCTGTGTTCGGACAGGGAAGCGGGAATTTAATGGAAATACCCTAGTGCAGTCTGGGTCCGGTTCCGTCACAGTACTTATATTTGCATAAACTGCATACTTATATGCATACTTGTGTAAACTGTGTACTTGTATAAATCAGCACACTTGCATAATTGAGTACCTGTATACTTGCATAAACTAAACTGCATATATGCATACTTGTATACCTTCATAACTACATACCTGTGTACTTGCATAGCTGCATGTAGACCAACATGGCAATGGACTTGCATTCCTGCGGGACTGCATAGTTAGATGGCAATATATAGTTGCTACATTGAGTTAAATGGTCCCAGAAGGGGGAGACACCTGTAAGGCAGGTACACTGCCCTTGGGTCCAGTGCACTCGGAGGGGTGGTGGTGGGGTAATCACAATGGACCAGTGGGGTCAGGTCCATCTGGGGCCATTGCATTTGTCTGGGAGTGCAGCTATGCCTTGTGGCTGGGCTGCAGCCGCATTGCCCTGAATGTGCCTGATCTCGTCTGAATTTGGAAGCTAAGCAGGGTCAGCCCTGGTTAGTACTTGGATGGGCCAGGTGCTGTAAGCTTTTCCCCTCCTAAGTCTGAGGCTACTGTGCTTTGAGAAGACTCTCAGGCAAAGGATACTGGGGCAGTCCCTGAGGCTACTTTGCTCCATCTTTAGCGGCAGAAACCTAATCGGTTAAGTGTGCCTCTTGGGGCCTTCTGGGTTCATTATAGAGTTATCAGGCTTTTGCTTTTGCATTTTTGCTTGGAGCATAAGTTATGGGCACATTATTGTAGGACAAACGACAGGTTCTCAAGCCCAAAACCAAGCAAGGACGTGAGGTCTATCTTAGATCTCAAGGCACTAGACATATGTCTAGATGTCCTTCTGTTTCAGATGGGATCAGTCTGATCAGTCATGGCCTCTCTGCAAGAGATACATTTTAGGTGTCTATAATCCTCAGTGATGCATATTTTCGTGTGCCAACTTTTTTCAGGCTCATCATGGTTTCTGCAATTTGCAGTAAAGAATCGCCATTTTTGTTTTGTGGCACTGCCATTTTGGGCTGGTCACAGCCCCCTGAGTGTTCACTTAGCTCCTAGCCCCAGTATTGGGCTTGATGAGGATACAGGGAGGTGTCAATCTCATATTGCTTTAATCTTTCCTTTACTCAGAGAGCAGTCGGTTTCAAGGTTAAAGTGAAATATAAGAAACAAAAGCTATCCTTTGGTACGTCTTTGCATGAGGGAATGGTATATATTGTACGTTGAAGCAGTTTCCTATGTGCATTTCCACTTCAGAGGACCATGCTGTCTGTTTGGATCATGAAGCTCCAATCATTGGATTGCCGAAGGGATTTGTTGGGCTATTGCAGAGTCTAAATTCGTGGTGGTTGTTCAGAATCTTGAATTCTTCCAGGGATATGGAAGATGGGAATCAAACCCAGTCTCTCCAGTTGGGGGGGCTGGTTTGGAGGTGACTACAGTTCAGGGGGCTCTGCACAGGAGGGAACACTACCTATCAATATCTTTGGACCTTCGGGCAGTACACCTTGCTCTGTATTATTGGAAGAACCAGTTGCACAGGCTGTGGTAAGGGTTCGGTCTGACAATGACACGGCAGTGCATATATCAACCACCAGGACGGCACAAGGAGTCATGCGGTTCAGGGAAAGGTGAACCACTTTCTGTCTGTCAGCAGTACATATTCCAGGTATAGAAAACTGGCAAGGTTTTTTTCCCCAGTCTTCAGCAGCTAATACCAGGAAAGTGGGCCTTGCATCCCGAGACATTCTCTGCAGCCTGTCAGAGTTGGGGAACTTTGGATGTAGATCTACTGGACTTCAGGTTCTACAAGTTAGACAGGTTTTGTCCAGACAGAGTTCCACAGGCAAGAAGGGTAAATGCACTGCTAACACCTTAAGAACCAGTTCTCCCTAATCTATACCTTCCCCTGATTCAACTATGGCCACATCTTTGAGCCAGATCCAGGAGGAGGGAACACTGACAATAGTGGTTGTCTGGCCTAGCCAAAGAAGGGCTTGGTACACTGACATAGTCAATCTAGCAGTAGAGGCTCCTTGGACACTTCTTTTTTTTTTTTTTTTTTTTTTTTTAATTCAAATATTTATTAATAGTTTTCACAGTAATAACAATAGAAAAAAGATAAAAAAAAACATTTTTCATCTCGATCATCATAAAAATACAATTATTGCTTGGACACTTCTGGTCCACTCAGACCTATTGTCTGGAGTCCAATAATGTATCTTGTCTACAATTGCTAGGATTGAAGACTTGGCGGTTTGAAGCCCTGGTCTGAAAGGATCAGAGAGTCTTGGGTCCAGTTATCTCCGCACTGTTGAACCAGGAACCTGGCTTAAAGAAGCTTCGATTACAGGACCTGGAAATCTTATCTACCTGGTGTGAAGCTAGGTAATGGCATCAGCGGAGATGAACTGGCCTTAGGTACAATTAAAGGTCAGCTTCAGCACTATCCATTTGTTCTCAGAGACTGTTGTTTCTTACCCCTTGATTCATACTTTGTGCAGGGTGTAATGTAGTTGGTCCCATCTGTCAGGCCACCCTTGTGTCCTTGGAACTTGATCTTGGCTGTCCTTGCAGAAGCCACATTTTGAACCAATTCGGGGAAATTCCAATATTCTTTTGACTCAGAAGGTGGCTTCCTTGGTTACTATCACTTTGGCAAGAAGAGTATCAGAGCTGGCAGCTCTTTCATGTAAGGAGCCATTCTTGGTCTTGTATCTTGATGGTGATGTTGCTCCCCTATCCATAGAGTGGTTTCTAGTTTTCACCTGAATCAGGACAGTGTTTTGCCTTCCTCTTTTCCTAGTCCACATTCGGCAGGGGAAGGATTGCTGCATACTCTGAATGTAGTTTGGGTGGTCAGGATTTACTTGAGTTTGGCGGCACAGGTCAGGAATCTGGTTTGTCCTGCTAGAAGGGCCCAGGAAAGGCAGGCGGCATCTAGGTCAACTATTTTTCATTGGATCCACCAGTTGATCATTCAAGCCTATGGTTTGAAGGGTAAGGTCCCACCCCTTTGGGTGAGAGAGCACTCTATCAAGAGTGGGAGGGTATCTTGGGCTATCCGCCATCAGGTATCAATGGCTCAGGCAGCTACATGGTCTTTGGTTCATACATTCACAAAGTTCTACCAAGTGGATGATGGAGTTACAGAGGATACCGCCTTTAGCCGCAGTGTATTACAAGTGGCAGAATAGGTCCTTTGGTCTGGTGGCAGTTTTTTTTCCGTTATGTGTCTCCCTCCCCTCAAGGGCATTGCTTTGGGATATCCCAGATAGTAATGATTATAGCCTGCTCTGTGTCCTGTGATGTACGATAAAGAAATGTTGGGTTTTTTTTTCTACATACCTACCTGTAAAATCCATTTCTTCTCTTTTTGGAATTTCATTTCTTGCTTCAAAACTGAGGTACTTCCTGTATGGGGGGGGGGGGGGGTATATAGGGGAGGACTTCCTATTTGATCCTCCAATGTCCATTCACCTATAGGTGGTGCATAACCCAGATAGTAATGATTATAGTCTGCTCTGTGTCCTGTGATGTACTCAAAGAAATGGATTTTACAGGTAAGTATGTAGAAAAAAAAAAAAACATTTATCTCCTTCAACAATAAATTGCAAAGCACATGGCGAAAAATATTTGCAAAAATTCTTAGTTTTGAGCTGGCCATAGATGTTCAAATCTCAGTCTGTCCAATAGGATACAACCAGCATGTCGGATTTATCATGTGATTATTGCCATTAGCAATAGTCACTGTGAAAGCTTTATATGGAAAGTGTGTGGTGGTGTGTGTTTTTTTTTTGTTTTTTTTTTTTTTTTTTTTTTTTTTTTTTTACAAATTAATTTTTGCACAGTTCAGTCTACATGCTAAGCCATTAACAGAAAAGGGATAAAAGTATTTACAAATTCTTAACAAGCTGAAAAAGTGCTTTCAAAAAAGCTGTCATTCTTTAGAAGCGATAGTAATACCACCACTAATGAATAACTTCCTGCACAGCTGGAGGTTCGCTGTAGCTTCCAGATGAATCACCCCAAACCCATACTTCATCCCCACTTACAAGTACCTGCTGTAAGTTTACATTACAAATCTGGCAGGCTGTCAAAATACTGCTGCAGTAGAAAGCAATAGAAGAGCTAAGATTTCAGTGTGTCTGTTGTGAACCTTTTGAAGATTAATTTCTCCATAATAACTAAAGAGGTTGATGAGTGCTTGTTTCAGTTTGCTTTTACTGCATACTTGGAACATGCAAATTCTTAAGTGTGCATAGCCCGATATGTACTTTAAGATAGGAGTGCAAGTATGGTGGTAACTCACCCTGTTTATATGAGCATGTGGCTGAATTGTGACCGTTTGCATAGCTTGATGAGGTGGAAATGTGTCTATTTAGTCACCATGGCTGGGCTGCAGACACCAGAATGCTGCACAATGTAAATATTGCTGTGTCCTGGGCATATCGAAACACTGCATCTACACCTGCAATCTGTCACAAGTCTCTCCCATCCTGTGACTGGGCAGTAAAAGATGGCATCAGACTGATAACTCATTTATCTGTTACTATGCTCTCTTCCCCGTAAGCTTTCTCTCTCCCCTCCTGTATAAGGAATTTAGAAAGGATGATACCAGGTATAAGGGTGTTTTTATTATACATCCTGTTACCTCTTAACCACTTGCCTACCGGGCACTTATATCCTCTTATTTACCAGGCCAGCTTTCAGCACTGTCGCACTTTGACAATTGCGCGGTCATGCAAGATTGTACCCATATGAAATTTTTATCATTTTTTTCTCACAAATAGAGCTTTCTTTTGGTGGTATTTAATCGCTGCTGGGCACTTTACTTTTTGTGCTATAAGCAAAAAAAGTGCAAAAAATTTTGAAAAAAAAAAAAGTTTTTTTTTTGTTTCTATTATAAAGTTTTTCAAACGGGTAATTTTTCTCCTTCACTGATGTGCGTTTGATGAGGTAGCACTGATGGGCACTGATAGGCAGCACTGAAGGGCACTGATAGGCGGCACTAATGAGGTGGCACGAATAGGCGGCACTGATAGGCAGCACTAATGAGGTGGCACGGATAGATGGCACTGATATGCGGCACTGATTGGTGGCACTGATAGGCGACACTGATAATGGGTACTGGTAGACAGCACTGATATGTGGCACTGACTGGCACAACCGCTGGGCACTGACTGGCACAACCGCTGGGCACTGACTGGCAGCACTGCTGGGCTGCACTGATGGGCACTGGTGGGCACAGGTGGGTGGCACTACTGGGCACAGGTGGTGACACTGCTGGGTGGCACAGGTGGGTGCATTGCTGGGCACAGGTGGGTGCATTGCTGGGCACAGGTGGGCGGAACTTGTGTGTGGCACTGCTGGGCACCGATCATCAGGGCACTGGTGATCAGTGACCCTGATGATCGGTGCCGATCCCCACTCTGACAACTGCCGGTTTTCGGCAGTACTTTCCTCACGATCTGACAGCGTGAGAAAAGTGCAGCCGAGAACTGGCATTTGCATTTTCCCGGTGATCAGCGTGTCATTGGACACGGCTGATCACGTGGTAAAAGGCCGCTGTGATTGGCCTTTTACGACGTCACGTGATCAGCTGTGTCCGTAGGACACAGCGATCACGGAGATCGCCGGGTGCGCGCCCCGGGGGGCGTGCAGGAGAGCGCGTTCTGGGAGGACATCATATGACGTCCACCCAGAACTGGCCGGCCGCAGTGCAGCCGTCATTCGGCTATCTGCGGTCGGCAATTAGTTAAAGCAAGGGTGTCCAACTCAATTTCATTGCAGATTACATCAGCATTATGGTTGCCCTCAAAGGGCCGGTTGTATCTGTAAGACTATAAAATTATTATTATACAGGATTTATATAGCACCAACAGTTTGCGCAGCGCTTTACAATGTAAAGGGAGACAGTACAATTACAATACAGTTCAGTACAGAAGGAATAGGAGGGCCCTGCTTGTGGAGCTTACATTCTAAAGGAATGGGGAGGTGGTACAAAAGGTGATAGCTTCAGGTGATGATCGGATGGAGGTGACTCAAGTACAGTTCTTAGGTGGCGGTGGGGTAGGCCTTCCTGAATAAGCGAGTTTTCAAAGATCGCCTAAAGGCAGACATCATGGGGGCTGACTGGATATAATGGGAAAGGGAGTTCCAGAGGATGTGACTTTGGAGAAGTCCTGGAGGCTAGAGAGCAAGAGGAGCAGACAATTTAGACGATATCTGCGGATCAGGTTGGTGATGTAGGTGGGAGCAGTGTGGTGGATGGCTTTGTATGTTGAGGTTATTACTTTGAATTTTACACGTTTGGTTAGTGGATGCCAGTGAAGGCAGAGAGGGGCAGCAGGCGCTGATCGGTTGGTAAGGTGCACAAGTCCAGCAGCAGCATTCATAATAGACTGAAGGGGGGATAACCTGTGTAATGGTAGGCCACTGAGGAGGGAGTTGCAGTAATCAAGGCGGGATATAACCAAGGCGTGGATAAGTTGTTTTGTGGTATCATTAGTCAGGAAGGGGCGGATTTTGAAAATGTTGCAGAGGTCGAGACGGAAGGATTTAGCTAGTCATTGGATGTGGGGCCCAAAGGAGAGGACAGAGTCTAGGATTACACCTAGCACCCTGGCATGAGGGGAAGGACCAATGGTTGTGCTGTTGATCTTAATGGTAAAGTCCAGGGAGGAGAAAATATTACAAGTTCGGTTTTAGAAAGATTGAGTTTGTGGGAGTGGTGTGACATCCATACTGATATATTGCTCAGTAGATTTATGATACGTGAGATTGAGGGGGTGAGCTGGGGAGTGGAGAGATAGATCTGGGTGTCATCAGCATAGAGGTGGTATTGGAGTCCATGGGAGGTTATCAATTGGCCCAGGGAGGAGATGTGGAGAAAGAAAAGGAGGGGCCCAAGGACAGAGCCTTAGAGTACCCCAACAGAAAGAGGTAGAGGAGTTGTTGTTGTATGTAACGCTGAAAGTATGCTGAGAAAGGTAAGAGGAGAACCAGAAGAAAGCAGAGTCATGGAGGCCAAGGGAGTGGAGTTTACAGAGTTTATGGTGGTTGACAGTGTCAAAGGAAGCGGAAAGGTCTAGGAGTTTGAGTATGTAGTAGTGGCCATTTGGTTTTAACAGTTAGTAGGTCCCTAGTGAGTTTTAGTAGGGCAGATTCAGTGGAATATTGTGGGCTGAAGCCAGACTGTAGGGGATCGAGAAGGTTGTTGTCGGTAAGGTAGCAACTCATACGGTTGTGAACAAGGTGCTTGAGAACCTTGGAGGCAAATGGGAGCAGGGAAATGGGTCTTAAGTTATTCAAATAGGTGGGGTCCAATGAGGGTTTTTTAAGTATGGGGTAACCTGTGGATGTTTGAGCAGGGAGGGAAAGGTGCCGGTGGAGAGGGAAAGGTTGAAGATGTGGGTTAGAGAGTTCAGGATAGAGCAGGAAGGAGGTCGCAATAATCATGAGGGGACAGGTGGTGAGGTGAGCCTTGGAAAGGGGTTTGGCAATGTCCTTGGTGGTAACGGGGTTGATGGAGGAATAGTGTTGAGTGGTGTTGGGCCTTATATGTTAGTTGGGGGAGGAAGCTTCACACTGGAGATATCATCACGAATTGTCAATCTTGTTCTTGAAATTACTGGCAATCTCCTGAGCAGTAAGTAAGCTGGTGGGTGGAGGTAGTGGGGGATGGAGTAAGGAATCAAGGGTAGCAAAAAGTTGACGAGGATTGGATGAGAGTGTTTTGATGAGTTATGTACTAGGTTTGTTTTTCAGTGTGGAGGCTGCAGTTGTATTTGAGAAGGGTGGATTTGTAGGGGGTGAAATCTTTCAGGGATTTAGTTTTATGCCATGCTTGTTCAAGAGCACGGTTGCTTCTCTTGAGATATCTGGTGTCATCTGTTTGCCAGGGTTGTGACAGGCGAGACCTAGTTCTGTGTGTAGAGAAAGAGAGGAGCAAGTACGTCCAAGGAGGATGATAGTGAGTTGTTGAAGGCAGATGTGGCCAGGTTTGGACAGGACGGGTGCAATTTTATCATAAAGGCACTTTGTAGCGGTGTGAAGAAGGGAAGGGCTGATGTGGAGGTTTCTGCGGGTAACTGTTTGCTGGTTGGAGGTAAGAGACAGGGAGAGTGTAAAGCTGAAAAAAATGTGATCAGAGAGAGGAAAAGGGGTGTTAGAGAGGTTACATGGTGTGCATAGGTGGGAGAATACAAGGTTGAGGGTGTTGCCATTAAATAGGTGTTTGGTTTTGTGTCCATTGTGTTAAGTTAGTTTGAGAAGTGGCTGAGGTGTTAACATTGATTGGGATGTTTAAGTCACTGAGGATCTTGACAGGCACCTCAGAGGAGAGAAAGTAGGGTAGCCATGAAGAGAAGTCATCAAGAAAGCGGGAGACTGGGCCAGGAGGCCGGTAGATAACTGCAATCCTCAGACAAACAGGAGAAAAAAGACTAATACACTGCACTTCAAAAGAGCAGAGGGACAGAGTGGGGGGTGCAGGAAGAAGCTGGAATCTGCTTTGTGGGTAAAGAAGTCCAACTCCACCCCCTTTTCGTCCACTGGGTCTGAGCGAGTGTGTTCGGAGGAGACTACCATGGGAGAGTGCAGCTGAGGAGACAAAGTCAGATTCCTAGAGCCAGGTTTTGGTAACAGCAAGTACGTTGAGGGAGTGGGAGAGGAAGAGGCCATTGACAGTAGAGAGTTTGTTAGAGACTGAGCGGGCATTCCAGAGGGCACAATAGTGGGAGGGGCTGGCGCACATGGAAGTAGGGGAATTGATATAAGAGCATGAGGGTTATGGTTGCTGCCACAGAAAGGAAGACTGCTGGTTCTGTGGATGGGAGTTTTATGGTGGAGGGCCAGGGTTTGAGGCAATGTCTCCAGAAGTTAGTAGTACTAGGAGGGTGAGGGGGAGGTGAGGTGAGAGCAGGATTTATGAGGGCAAATGCCGCAGTGATTTTGGAACAGTTACATTATGTGGGCGAAGGGAGAGCAGGAGATAAGTGCAATGATATTGAGAGGGCAGAAGTGAGGGTGATTATGAACAGGTCATGAGGTGGAGGAGGGGTAAAGAAGACATTTTGAGGAGGGAGGGCATTATATCAAAAAAAGTTAATAAAGGCATGTTGGAGAGTGAGGAGAAATAAAAAAAAGAGAGGATGAGGGAAAGCGATAGGAGAAGAAAGATCACTTGCAGGCTACTTGGAGTGGAGCACTAAAGTTTGTACTTGCCTTAGTTAAGAGTAAGGTGCCTTAGTTAAGGTGTCGTGTTCAAGATGCAATGCATTTAGCACAGGAATGGCACTTTACGCAAGGAATGGCCAGCCTGTCCCCTCACCAGCCGTCCCAAGCACTGTAATTACTTTATATTTGGATGGACTGGGGGAGGTTAGGAAATTGTTCAATTAGGAGCTAATAAATGACACATGGTGAAAGATTTCTGCCCTTGACAAATTGCAAGCAGTATGAACACAAGATAAGGCAAGGTGATTGATCTCAGCTAAGGCACTATGAGAGTATGTTAATATAATATAGACAAGTACTAACAGCAGTTACAATAAGTCTAACAAATGTATCTACTCTTTATCATGTTAATATTTGCCTCTGCAATCGATTTATTACTGGTGTTCGTAACAACCTAAGACCTAAAGTGGTTGTAAATGCTCAAGGTTTTTAACCTTCATGCATTCTATGCATAAAGGTAAAAAAAAAAAAAAACGTGTGTGTGTGTGTGTGCGCAGCAGAGCCCCCCCCCCCCAATATTTGAGCCCCCCTCATCATAATCCAGCGACGTGCACGAGAGCAGCGGCTCTCCCATAGACTCCCACTACTGTCAATCACAGCCAATGAGAAGAGAGGGGGGGGCAGGGCTGAGCCTTGCTCTGTGTGTGTAAATAGACATACAGAGCAGCAGCTCAGGAGCAAGCCTGATTGGGTGCCCCCAAAGCAAGCTGCTTGCTCTGGGGGCACTCATCAGGAAGGAGGGGCTAGGAGCGCCGGTTGGGGAAGAAAGAGGAGGAGGGGAGGATCCTGTGCAAAACCACTGCCCAGAACAGGTATGACATGTGTTTTTGTTTTGTTTTTTTAAATGCCTCTAGTATCACTTTAAATAATAAAGGGCAGGTGCAGACCAGCATGGAGCCCACAAACTCCTGTAGCAGATGATGCAAGAATGATAAGGAGGGTCACACATCACTGGTATCATCCACAAGAAACGTTATTAGAGACTGCTCATACAGGTTCTGCGATGGTGGTGTTCTGTCTGAGAAGTTTCCTGTATAGTTCTTGTGGATGATACCTGTGGTGTGTGACCCTCCTTTTCAACTGGCATAGAAGTGTATAATTGTCCTAATTATAAGTAGATCCAGAGCAACTCACTGTGTTACATGAGATGTCAAGAGCCTCCCACCATCAAAA